CTCGTGCTTGGAATGCCTTTAAAACTACTGGTACAGCTGTTCGGAAGGTTGGTGGTGGCCGTCCAAGGAAAACAACACCAAGAGATGACCGTTACATTGTCCTCCAGGCGAAAAGAAACCGTTTTCAGTCAGCGAGCGCCATATCTCAGCAACTGTGCACAGCCACAGGACGACAAGTATCAAGATTTACAGTGGCCAGACGCCTCCACAAAGGTGGCTTATTTGCTAGACGTCCTGAACGCTGCATACCTTTAAAAGTTAGCCATCGGCGGCACCGTTTAGAGTGGTGCAGAGAACACGAAACCTGGACACCTCATCAATGGAGTCGCGTCCTCTTCACAGATGAGAGTCGTTTTAGTGCTACAAGCGATTCTCAACGTCAGTTGATCTGGAGAGAGGTTGGAGCTCGATTTCATCCCAATAACATCGCGGAAAGAGATCGTTACGGTGGTCCTGGAGTTGTCGTCTGGGGTGGCATTATGTTGAACGGGCGGACTGAGCTTCAGATCTTCGACCGAGGTTCTGTAACTGGAGACCGCTACTGCAATGAGGTAATCCTACCCCATGTGCGTCAGTTCCGAGGGACCAATGGACCAGTCTTCATTTTTATGGATGACAATGCCCGAACACACCGTACTGCTAATGTTCAAGAACTACAGGAAAAAGAATATGTCACACGAATGGATTTGCCAGCTTACTCTCCAGATCTAAATCCCTTAGATCATGTGTGGGATGCATAAGGGAGACATCTTGCGACACTACCGTATCCTCCTGGTAACACCCATCAGCTGAAAGATGCGTTAGAGGAGGAATGGAGGCGTTTACCCCAGAACTCCTGGATAATCTGGTGCTCACCATGGAGAGACGATGCCAAGCAGCAATTACAGTAAAGGGAATGCATATCCCATACTAGGGAACATCTGCCAGTTGTACTTACGCTCTTTCAGGCAATCCTGTGTAACGCCACTATATGTCAAATAAAGTCTTTTTTTGTTCCATATCCTACTTTAAGCTTTATATTCATTTCAGCGCAATTATTCTTTTACCATTGTTTAAGTACAAAATAATGTACATCATATTCAAATTTCATGTCAATTGGATGATTTCTTGTAGAGTTATGACAAAAAACGCACTTGTTGCTTAAGTTTTGCACACGAGTGTATATCGAGAACTTTTTAAACGAATTGAAGATTTTTTGCACGCAATTATAAAATTCATTTATATTAACATACTTCCATGCAAAAATAATATTTAGTAATTATTTATTATTTTGCATTATTTTATTTAATAATAGTCAAAGTAATAGTATTCTTAAATTTTTTAAAGAATGTAATTTTAAAGGAATGTAATAATTAAATCGATGTAATAATTGCACCATTTTAAAGAAAGCAGTTTTACATGGCAAAATACAAAATTTTAGTGAAATGGGACAAATAATTCTTGAGGAATCAAATTTTTTTTAATTTGATTTTCATTTTTTAATTCTGATTTTTCTCTGTATTGTTTTCTGTATTTTAATATCTAATTTTCTTTATCTTAAAAATTTTCAATCAATATTTTCTTTCTTTCAAACAAAAAATTAATCTTGATTTATAAGTGCCCAATATTTTTTAAAACCACTTTACATGTTGTTTTAGAGTTAAATTTTTCTAGCAATTATCCTTATGATAAAAATTAATATTTATCAATTATAATATATTAACAAAATTTATAATTAATTATTCGAGTTTGTGTTTGACTTTATACTATTAGAAAGTTTACACCATTGATAAGTTGAATTTGATGTGTTTAGAGTTGGAATTCGTAAATACAAAAGTAATCCCGATAAAGATTATTTTATATGTTTATAAATTACGACTATCCTAAAAATGTCACATTATACTTTTAAAACAACAAATCCCTAAACAACTCTCTCATCTTAGTTGCTGAGGAAACAAAAACATTTTCTTCCTTTCTGTAGTATTTGTAGTTGACAGTCATGGTTAAGAGGTAATTGGGCACTTTTTAATTGTTCTATCTTGAACAAAGATTCTCCTTTAAGCTGTCGAATCTCGAGTTGTCGAGTTGTAATACTCAATTAGAGATTTATTTTGCTAATTTATTTTTTCAAATTCCCGTTATCTTGCAGTTTTTATTTAATTCATTAATGTAATGCATTTTTATAAAGAGTAGGTGATTTTATTTATTCATTAAATAAGCATAGATGTAAACTCTTTTTAAAAAGCTCGCTACTCAGATTGTTCATTATCCTGCTTTACACTTACTAATTGGTGGAAAACTTCATTAAAAATCTTCCATTGTGCCTCAGGGATAATGTATTCGTTCCCTCAATTTAGTACATGAAAAATAAATGGTATTTAAACCCAGGAAACTGTTACTTAAAGTGAGTTAGCACTCCTGAAGGTGTCGGGCATATATACTTTTCCATGGATATTTCCTTTACTTATTTTAATTAAAAAAATTTTATTCAGAAATTATTTTCTAGCATAGTATGATTTAGTAAAATATGAAAGTCTGAAGTTTGAACAAAAGAAAGAACACATGACATAATATTGCACCAAATAAACATTTCTCAACTAATATTTTCCACTTTTCTTAAGTGCATGCACGGAAAAAAATTCGAAATCTTGTAAAAAAACTTGTATTGCACAAAAAAGTCAAACAAAATTAAGTAAAAACAAAAATTATTCTTATTTTTGTATAACTAAAACGCAACTCGTAAATTCAATGTTATGTACAATCGCAAGTACAGTTAGTATTGTAACACGCTTCGTTTATTAAAAACTTTTCACAATCTTAACATTTTTCATGACGGTTCTGAAACTGTATTGGAAGAGGGGGTGGTTATTCTTTGCATAGTAAATTACTATCATTAAATTAATTTCGAATCTTTGATAACGTTAAAAATTGTTATAAACATTGATAAAAAAGTTTTTAAACTGTACTCATATTGCACGTAATTTTAAAATAAGGGAATTTGAAATTAATTTTTGTTCGATATTTTTATTGCTTGGGCCATTTGAAACTGATCTAAGGTTTGAAACAATTAACTATTTGTAGTAATAACATAAGTTGTAATGTGACTTATATTGCTCGGTGACTGAATAAAAATATGTGATAATATTTTATCTTAGATTTGCTATTTTGGAAATCGACCGAGAAATTTGTTTCTTAGAATAAATAGGTGTATTTCCCTAAAAAAAATTTCAGCGCTTGTAATTCAGCACAAAATTCGAGAAAAATTGCGTGTTACGTTATTCACAAAATGCAAAAAATATCGATTTGATTCATGACTACTTAAACAGGGTGCGTAGCGTTTTTAAAAAGTGCTTAAATGCGCTTATTTTCGATTTTCGTTTTTTAAAAGCCCTTAACGGTGCCTTTTTTATTGGGTGTTGGGTTATATTTAAAAGTGCTTAATTTTCCTTTTTTCAAAATGAGATTTTTCTTTTACTATGTTGATTTGCGCTTCGAATTATGCAAGAGGGCACAGTTCACATTGTTCTATTCAACTTTTTCATAATTAATTCAACCCCATTCTATTTCGGAGTGTAGTCCGTCCGTAGCGTATGAAAACGCCATTAGTTTTACATGATCTAAAATTTCATGATTTTTGACTATTGTCAAAAACAATGTCAAAAGTTTTTTTTTTGTTGATGCATAGTAATAAACTTTTAATTTTCTTNTTACTAATAGCTCGAAGTATACATCGGATTAAGACCATATTTTGCGATCTCGCCACTCAGCTTGATATCTAAACAAGAAATTGCTTATGAATTTTTTAATCACAATTAATTAATAAATTTCACATTTCTTAGACTCTATAACTGAATCAAACGTGTGTTTGAAAATAGTGAAGAAGTTGATGAAAATGTCATTATGAGTCAGAGCAGCCCCGAACCCTAAATTTTCAGTAAACGAGCCTGCCTCATCTTTAACATACAATAATTTTGTTTATAATGTTATGTGAAATAACGTAATATAAAAATAACTTGGCTTACTATTAGTTGCAACTTTTCTGATACTAAGTGTTACGGCAAGTGTTTTTTTTTACATTAAAGGGACAAATGAATATTTTTAATATAAAAATTAAGTACAATAAGATAAAGCACTTACAATAGTTTTTTTTTCTCTACTTTAGGAGAAAAATACAAGCTTTCAAAGAAGATTTTCCACGACGTTTTACAAAAACAGCATTTTTTAGATAATTAATTTTAATTTGCTCTTTTTCCTTTTTCTTCAACTCTCCCATAAAATTTTTAATTGATAATCTTTGATATTTTAAAAACATTTATTTAAGAACCACTTTAATAAAATAACCACTTGTTGCAATACTTCAACAAAAAACAACAATAATTAAAAAGAAACATTTTCGTTTTAATATTTAATACTAAGTGCTTTTGACATCTTTAGAGATGATGTGCTTCATGCTTAATTCTTTGAGATCGTAAATGGAAAAGTGCTTTAAATAATCATAGGTAAAATAATTTAAGCATCTATTATTCAAACCTTAAAATTTCTTTAAACTAAAATTTCTCAGTTTTTTTTTTATTAAGATTATGTTATTAAGATTAAATATGATTTGATTTACAGTCTGAACATGAAATAAAAAAATGCGTTTTAAAAGTTTAGTTATCTGAGAATAAAACAGCCGAATATATGAACAGTCGAATATGTGAAACAGCCGGTCTGTGTAGTGGTTAGGTAACTGCCCTTGCATCAGAAAGGTTCTGGGTTCGAATCCCGGGCAAGGAATGGATGTCCTTTCCTTCTCAGTACTATCTGTCCTTACTGTGTCAGCAACGTTGGCCTACCTAATATGGTGCCCGTGAAAGATATATATATATATATATATACCATTTTAAATACTTTTAAAAATCTAATAAAAATGTTAGGATTTGACAAATATTTAATTTGATTCACAGTATCAATATAAAATAAAATTCGCTTTTTATCACTTGTAAAAATAACTTCGAAATTAAATTATAAATAATCCGCACTCACAATAAAACATTTATTTTTTGATTCATATTATACAGATACATTTACTTAAAAATAATTTCGCTAAGGGCAAAAAACAGTGTCCGTAAAATCAATCTGCAAATTCTTCATCCACCTCTACCTCCCAGTCTATATTATCCATGGCTAAAGTCTCTTCTTCTCCAGCGATATCAAATTTCTCTCCTAATTTACGATACTTTTCATAATTGTGTGTTAAATTCATAGATGGGTTCTTCAGTTCATACAGTTGCACAAATGGGCTTGATGAATTTAATTGAGGAATTGGTATTGAGTTGCCATTATTACCGTCATCTAATGAAATACTTCGCTTCCCACGGTTAATCTAAAAAGAATTATTCAAATAAAATAACTTCAAGCTATAATACTGATGATTCATTATAAAGAATACAGTATCAATGTACTATAAATCAGGAACTATGTAAGAAATTATATGTTACCTGCCGCAAAATTGTATATGGCTATTTTAAATACTTTAGAGAAAGTCACAGATGTTCTGTATGTGATCCTTTAGTCATACAACACACATCGAATCGTTAATCCATTTCCACTCAAGCATTGTTGAAAATAACTATTTTGCCGATCACTTAGTTTATAAATTGTTTTTTCCTGAAACAACCTTAGACGATTGTAGAAAGGCAAACAGGCAAAATGTTTTTTTTTTTTTAGGGAACAGAGATTCCAAATTTACAAAGCAAGGCGTGCGAGATTCCCTTGGGATAAATGTGACCCATGCAGTGTTCAGAAAGTGCTCTGATCCTTCTTTTCTGAGAGCAAATTTTCACAGGAGCCACAGTTTTTGGATATGTGAACTTTTTGGTTGATGGCATAGTTGCAAACATTGACAACTTTACTTGCCAGTTAGATGGTGCATCACCGCACTGGTCAGCTTACTTGTGAGATTACCTCGAAGAATATCTACCTTAGCGATGGATTGGACTAGCTGAGGATTACAATTTGTGAACCCAAATCCCACCCAGTAGTTCAAACTTAAGACTTTGTTCATTTCTACCAGTGGTTGCAGGAGCAAGGTTATCGTCCCTCTCCATTCTTTTTCTTCTGTAACTTCTAGGAGAGTTGAAGCAGCGAGTTGTAGCCATTATCGGTAGACTTGATTCGGATACCATAACACGCGTTTGTGTGGAATAGGATTACTACTTTGATGTCACTAAGGAGTCACATATAGAACGTCTTTGACTATCAATAACAAAAAATTAATAACCCCATGAAAATAAAGTACAAGTAATATATCATATCGAAAAATGTCCTTGATTTTAGCGTATTCAACACTGTTAGAAATTTCTCTGCATAAAAGGTTAAATAACAATTTAATCGTTATTTTAACATATTCAAACAAAACATTCAAACAAGCATAAATAAGATGGTATTCAAACTGTTAACTGCTAGAAAAAACCGTTTATTAGCTGATTTCTCCTCATACGGTTATACAACCAGAATTTTATCAGCGTCACCTAAGCCCATTTAATGTAGCATTTTGTTCCTGGCAACTGCGTACATATTATAGACGAGAGGGCTAATCTGTCAGTCTTGTGACCTAAAGAACTCGGGCTCGAGACCCAGATTTGACACCATTTCCTATATTCCCTTCAACACATAAAGATTTTCCATTGTCCTGCACTCTTTAATGCCCATTACCTAGCAAAAAGCTTAGCTCCTGAGTTATGGCAAATTTCTCTCTTACGGTTTTGAAATCATGCTAGTTGTAAATGGTTAAAAAATCGAAAAGGTAAAAATTGTTCTTTACCGTAAACTTGATGGTTACGCGGAAGGAACGATAGCTGTCTGCCAATTTACCGTAATTTTAGAATAAAAATTCTAACAGGGTATACTGTAAGATATATGCTTCTTTAGGTATTGTAAACTGCATGCTTCTTTATAAATCAATCTTATTTTACAAAAAAACTGAAATTAAAAGAAGTATCGTTAACACAAAAATACAATGCAGGTTTGTATGTATTATTTGCTGCAATGTATTCTTTAGAGTAGATAGTTAAGTTGCATAAATAACCGCATATTAAGTTACCTTATAGTAACATAAGTTCTTTACAATAGCATAAATAACTCCATAGCAACATATAACGTATAAAACTGTAGAATAAAATATTCAGCTAAATATGCAAATACATCGAAGTGACTGGGAAAATTAACAGTAACAAAGCAGTTAATAATAAAAAAGTGATGTTTCTTTCTGTATGTTTAAACTATCGCACTGCTGCTAAATTATATTGATGATTACGGATTTTTGAGTTTTTGAAATACGATCTATCTGAAATACAATACAATGTTTTCCGTCTGAAATTACCGCATAACTGTTCAGGTATCTATGCAAAAACATGATTTTGGACAAAGTTTTTGAAAAGGAGTTTATTATACAATAAAAATTTCTGTAGTTTAAGCTTTCTAAAATTACTTTACTTTTGTTTTAATCCATTTATTTACAAAGTTATAGCAGTTATTGTGCAAGGTGATAACATTGGATAGTCTCCTGATTTTAAGTTTTTAAATGCCATCATCTCAAAATCAGATTTTTTAACATTTTACATTACCTTAAACACGGTATCTCAAGTTGTTTTTAAAATTGTTGTTTACAATTTTTCATCAGCGTTTATGATTATAGCACACATGTCTTGAATTGCAGACTAAGTGAAAAGAACAGAATTTAATTTTTCATGCATTTTTTTCGCAAAGACAAGTGCGAAAAGTTTTTAAATTATGCTTTTTTAACTGCATAGATCCCTAACTCAGTAGTATATGTATTTGCTATTAACATAATACTATTAAGATTTGCTATTAAGATTTTTTTTGGGGGTGGAAAGAAAATTTTTTTTAACGTGATTAGCGTATAAGCAAAAAAATGCCCTATTTTTACCTAAAAATGGCCATTTTAAAATAAATCAGAAATAAAATAATAATGGTTTTCATTGCTTGTTTTATAAGTTTTTACACATTATAAAACAAACTAGTTTTTTTTTTAAAGTTAATGATAATATTTAAAGAAAGAAATTGTCAAAACTAGTTGGACACCTTAAGACACTGCATTTTTTTTTCTGATTTAAGGGTATAGAATAATTTGATGAATTTTCTTATAGAATTCCTGTATGGATAAATAGGTTTCTTTTAGAAAATATCACATTGCAAAATCGCATAAATAGTAATTATAGAAAAAACTTGGTTTTAGGTTAAAAAATATATTTCAATTTTCTGTAAGTATCAAACATAGCTATTTTCGGCCAACTTCATATAGGTTTATAAGGGATGGAGATACTTTTTGTTTCCTATATTTCCTATATTTTTTAAAACCTATGTTCCTTAATTAATAGTTTCTATTATATAAAAATAATTTCCACTTTCAATATTCAACTAGAAAGCTCTTTAATCACTAACTAGACTTAAATATTTGGATTTTGCTTTCATGATCTCAGGCAGCTTGATTTCTGTTTCATTCTAAACTATAGCTTTTTAGTTTTGACAATATTTTTAGTAGAGTTTGATGTTTTCCACACAAAATAATTATTTTTAAACTATGTTTATAATGTAAAATACTTATAATTATAGAAAAATATCAGTAAACTGACAGACTAATTCAGTTAGCACTTATGTTAAAAGTAATTAGGTATATTATGCAAGTTGCGTATTTACAAATAAAGATAAAAACTTTTAAAGTTCACAACATAAAGAAAATATTAGTTATTTCTTGAATAATATGAAATTACTTGCATAAAGACACAACGATAAACTTATTTTGTTGAATATTTTAAGCAAATTACCTTAAAGAGAGTTTCGATAATTAAGTATGTACATATGAATTAATTAATGCCGAAAATCTTACATTTATTTTTTAAGAAAAACATTTGAAATGCAAAATCTTTTAAAATCAGTCACATATTTTTTATAAGAAAGTATGTTCTGTCTAATTTAAATTTATAAATATAATTACTTAAATTGGATTTTTCAAATAGTTTGAGATCAAAATAAAAAGTAAAGAAAGCATAAAATGAAAAAAAGAATACTTTAATTACGAAAAAAGAGATTGTGAAAAATTAACATGATTTTTTCATTTGGTTTAATTAAATTACTAGCTGCTGAGTTCTAATAAAATTTATATTTGCTGGAATGTAAGACGTGGATACTTGCTTTAACAATAAAATATAACGTAGTTAATTTTTATTTGTTTCATTTTTATTATAAGTTAATCAATTTTCATTTAAATATGAATAATAAGACTTTTTAAAAGAAACATTAACATTTAAATTTTTTTCATCTCTTCAGAAAAATAACATAGTAGACAAATACGATCATTTTCTTTTCATATTTCATACTGAACTGGAATTAAAAATTTTATTTTTTATAGTTGATTATTGAACAGAATCAGTTTTAGAAAATTATTTTGAAATATAATAACCAACTAAAATAATAACTTTATTTCACCAATAGTTTACCAATAGAATACCTTGCTTATTTTAATATAATATTTGATAGTATATTTGATAGTAATAAAGCAATAATCAAATTTTATAAAGTTTTTATTGCTTTTAAACGTAATAATAATGAACTACATTTTTTCTAGGTAATAAAAGGTTCATACAGCTCATAGCGGAATCGGAAAATTTTATTTCATGTTATTGTATATTGTACAAAATCATTCAATTATATTAAACAGCCAAAATAATAACTTTGCTTAATTAAAAGGTTTATTGCGTTACTAATCTAATATAGAATGAATGTAATTATGTCCTTTATTATTTAAAAAAAAATTATGTTTATTTTTTTCGAGTACTAATCAGCTTCATTTTTTCGAGGTAATATATAGTTCATATTACTTATTTTAGATCTTATTGTTTCTCTTGTATTTTGAACTCTGAGAAAAAGAGTATGGTCCTAACTACTAGAATATGATAAAATTTATCGAGTTCCTGGCTTAATGGTAAAACCAAAAATCTTAGTAATTTTTACCGATGCCCTTTGATAAAATTAGCAATAAAATGTGGTTTTGCTACAAAATGTGATAATTGTAACTAAACATTGTAATTTTTTTCATAATACATAAGAACATGTCATGAAAACCATTTGTTTCCTTAGATTTTATTTTTCAGTTTTGTAGTTCGTTCTAAATGTATGACAATAAAACTAATAATCGTGAAAACCACAATTTTCGGTAATTGCCACCACATGAAAGGTAAGAAATGCTAATTTTTAAAATTTCTTATAAGATTCTCATTGAAGTATTGCTGAATTTTAAAACCAGATGTCTTAAGATTTAGTTTTCTAAAAACAGTAATCTGGGCAATTTTCTTGAATTGTTATTTATCTCTATAAAATATTGATAATAGAACAATCTTATGTTTAAAATGAACTTCTCATACTTTAGGCTAAATTAATAGGGCATCACTTGGGTGGCGCTTTTTGCAATGTTCACAATTAAATACTTTTCCCCCAAGAGGGCTTTATACCGTTGGTGCAAGGTTCTTTTCAAAATAAAACATATTTTTCTGTTTCTATTTTTGGTGTAATCAAATGAATGCATTAAAGAGGTAACTATGAAATGATGTATGTACCTATCAGCAAAGAACTGTTATCGAAGTAAGCAGGATCCATTTGATATACCAGCCCTTACGAATTACAACAATTTTCCCTTACTACGAATTTTTTTTTTCTTTAGAATGTTTCAAACCAAATGCATAATATCCTTTTGTATTTTTGTATTCCCATTTGGAAATTAATCAATTAAAAACCAAAAAAAGGATGATTGTTAGAAGAGAAACATGATTAAAAGTTATGTTGACCAAAGCATCGGAAAAAAATGAAGAGCCACAGAGCGGCAAGTTCGTGAACTTACAATAATAAAATAACCACATTCAATGAACATCAGCGTACTTATTCATTTCAATAATTATATGTAAGAAAAGTAGAAGAAATAGGCTGTTATAAGTACAATAATGCTTTATAGGTAAATAAAATACAGTTAATATTTCTTTTCATTTTAAACCGAGAAACAATTTTGAATGTTGGTAAATCAAATAGTTATTTTTACAAAAAGATAGGATAGGTTAGGGCAAAAAAAGGTTAGGATTCAATAAGGAGGAGTTGCAACGAAAAAAAGTTTTAAAAGATGCAATCTGAATTTTGTAATGACTAGTTTAACTCAAACATTGCACATTTGATTTTAAAAAAATATTCGTTTGAATACAATGGAATTAGAGCGGGTACTTATAGAATGAAAGCTTAGCATTAGTAATGATCGATTTCGAATTTATTTCCAGGATAATATTTCGAGTAAATTCAATTAAAAACAAATAGAAGTACATACCGCACAGTTTTGCTCTATACAACGTGCCTGTGTGTAGGTCACATTGGAAGGAATTGAAGCCTAGAAAAAGATAAAGAAATAATAAAAACTACTTTTATCTTAAAAATAATGATGTTTGGAAATAGCATAAGCAAAATTATATATATATATATATANTATATATATATATTCCGTTTGAAGAAATTATACATATCAACATAAAGTATTACCGTATTACTTGATATGAAACCGATAAGAATATTATAGCAAAAATAACATGAAAAGCAGCAAAGGACAGAAAATAGTGATAGTTTTTGCTGCTTTTCGGATTATTTCTGATATAATGTTCTTATCTTCTTATCGGTTTCACGTCAGTTAAAAATTTATCTCAATTTCTTCAAATATTCTTCCACTTGTATCATTATCAGCTTTGTGATGTTGTGACTTGTGACTTGCACGCTATTCCTTAAAGGTCTTCAGCCAATGATTCTTGCTTTTTTTCTATTTACGTTGATGTAAAATAAATAAATTTAATTTTTTGTTTATTACTGTAACCAATTATGCTTAGGTTATTTACGCATTATTATGTATTTGAAGATTTGTAAACATTAACAGTAAATCATAATATTTTCATGATCAAAATTCTTTAGCCAGATTATGATTTTAATTTAAAATAATATTTTTAAAAAGTACAGGCCAAAAATAAATAGTTCTATGATAAACATTTTGCATTAACAAAACGTAGATTATGGGTAGATTCGCATATTTCGCATTACATTAAATAGTAATAAAATTAGCGGAACAAAGCACATTCTAGGAATGAAATTTCTCATTTATAATTATTTAGAAATTTAACTGACAATGAGCTGGTTAGCCTATAACGGGTAGACCAAACAAAGGAACGGATAAAGAAAACCGTATACTAAAAAGCAAATTACGTTAAGAAAACTGAAACTGAAATCGCACTGGAATTATAAGAAAGAAAATATTATAAATGTTAGTCGCAAAGCTGCTAAATTATTAATTATAATAAAATAGTTAATAAATAGTCTAGCATTAATTATTTTAAAGATAATGTTTTACAAAAACACACACAATGTTCAATAAAATAGTTTAATCAAATATGTTATAAATTAAAAAAAAGTTACTTACTGCGCTTACACACGTTCTAAGCTGGAAAAAAAACGATAGCAATTATTGATGCGAACATTAAATAAAATATATTATTTCTACAAATAATCATATCTACCATTTTAATGCAGTTCGCATGAAATATGAGTATAGTTAGCCAACATGCTAACTATACTTGTAATTATAAAAATAGTAAAAATAATTTTGTCATAAAAGTACTCTATCTAATTGAAATAAAGATACTTACAACATTTCCATAAGTAGAAGTGGGGCATAGAAAGCATTTTGGCTAAAATAAAAAATAAAATTAATAACACGCAGTTTAAAATGATATTAACTATGAAATGAAAATTTAATATGACAAATTGTTTACGAAAGTATTTATGACAAAACGTGAAACATAAACGTGGCTTAAATATTTTATTCAAATATATTCATTGTTGTGATTTGATCTGTAGGATTAATATTTATGAGCGTGTTTATTTTTGAGTAACTTTCGTGTTGATGTAGATATTCTTTTAAATTTATACAACTAATTTTAAAATTAACAAAATGTTTTCTAAGGTCAATTTAATAATACATAAGAAAAGCAAAGCTACCAAATAAAAATATAAGCAAGTATAAAATTTTATGACTTGAGATGAAGAGCGTTAAAAAATAATTAGGTTTTCATTGAAAGCGTTAACCCAAATGAAAGTGAAATGTTTTATTTATTTATTTAAAAAAAATTCAGAAAAAGCTATTAGATGAAAAAACTCAATAGTTAAACATGCATGTGTAGGTAAATGGAGCTACAATTTGTTTTTTAATTAAGTCTCTCACTAATTTTCAAGTGTCTCATTAAGTTTTATTGAATAAAACAAATTATGAGATATTTAAATGAGAAAAAAATTACATCGATGAAAACAGCTTCTTCGTCTGGTTATTTTACTTCTTTCACATGTCATTAGAGAAGTAATAAATTTTGAGTTGAAATAAAGTTTAAAATGACGAAGAATATAACCGATAGATGTATAGAGTATCATCAATAAAAGAAATTCGTGAAATAAAAAGAAATATACAAAGAGATTTATAAAATATAATTATTACTAATATCTAAAAGTTAAAAGTTGCTATATATATATATATAT